TGAGGCATCAGCAAGATCATGAACGTAATGTGCTTGGCACATAATATTAAGTCCTCAGTGAATGTTGGCTCCGTCTGAGGGAAGCACTAGGGACAGTGTAAGAGATGGTCACAGGCATGAGCCCTGAGGTCAGGCCAGATTGGATGGGTTCCCTTGACACTAGCTGAGTGAACGTGACCACATTATTATTTTCGTTGGGCCTCAAGTTCTCACGAGTCGCCATCTCTTAGAGTTGTAAAGATTAAGAGAGAGAATGCTCTTTTTTTTGTGACGGCTTTACTGAAATATAATCCACATGCCATATAATTCCCCCTTTTAAAGTGTGCACCTCAGTGATTTTTAGTATATTCACACGGTTATGCGACCATCACTATGATCTGATTCCAGAACCTTTTGGACACCCCAGAAAGAAACCTGTACCCATCAGCAGTCATTCTCCAATAGCCCTTTCCTGCCTCCGCCCCACCCCCGAGCCTGGGCAACCGCTAACCTACTTTCTGTCTCTATGGATTTGCCTCTTCTGGACATTTCCTATAAATGGAATCAGGCAATATGCGATCTTTTGTGTCTGGCTCCTTTCACTAAGCCTCATGCTTTCAGGGTCCCTCCACGTTGTAGGATGTGTCATTATTTCATTCCTTGTTATGACCAAGTAATATTCCACTGCGGGGGTACGCTGCATTTAGTTTATCCACTCATCGTTGGACATCGGGATCGTTTTGACCTTTCGGCTGTTGTGAATACAACTGCTAGGAGCTTTCATGTATGATTATGCACGTTTAATGCTTGGCACAGGGCCTGCCAGGTACCCAAGGGCTCAGGACCAGCAGGTAGCTGTCACCCTTACTGCTAAGGAGTGCTACCTTGGGTGATTTGGGGCACGGGGCGTCTGGATTAGAAACAGAAGGCGGAAGGCATCCCCATACTGCACAGTGCGGCTGACAAGCTGCCTTGGCCCACCAGACCCACGGAAGGCAGCATGACATGGAGGCAGGAGCGCAGACCCCGCTCCACCGCTTTCGAGCTGTGTGACTCCAGGCAGGTCACTTAACCTCTCTCAGTCTTCTGTGTGAATTGGATATAAATACTGTCTTCGCTACATACCTCACAGGCTTGCTGCCTGGGCCAAAGAGATCATTAAAAACCATGGAAGCACTTTGAAAATCACAAGGGATTATTATTCCAAGCCTTTCATATTACAGAAGCCTACCCCTCTTGAATAAAGTAAGGAAACACTGTTCTGTTCACCATCCTCCTCTTTCCAGATTGTTCCCGTTCTCTTCAAGATGACACCCCGGCCTTCTCCCCCACAGGCCCGGATGCTAGCACCTTCTTCTTCGCATCTACTTACGGGCCAAGGGTGAGCCGCCTGGGCCAAAACCTGAATCCACATCGACAAAAGACCTGCAAATGCCTCTTCCCTCCCAGGTTGGCATCTGTACGACCTTTCTGGTTTGCTGGAGCTCTACTTGCTTAGAGCGCCCTCTTGTGTCTTCTCCGGGATATCAGTATAATGTGCGCGGGAATTTTTTTTTTTTTTTCTCGTCGCACTTCAGGGCCCATGCTTGACATGTGGAATCCAGTTAAGCCATTGCAGCCCAGGTCTTTTTTTTTTTTTTTTAACTATATGCTAATTTTTTTAAAGATTTTTTATTTATTTAGGGCAACGCTCTCAGGTCCCCTCCCTCCTCGGGAGCTTTGTACTATCACTTTGCTATCACTCAATACACCTTGCTTTGCTGGCCCCCTCCCAAAAAGATTTTTTATTTATTTATGAGAGAGAGAGAGGGAGAAAGAGCATGGGGGGGGGCAGAGGGAGAAGCATATTCCCCGCTGAGCAGGGAGCCTGACGAGGATCCCAGGACCCTGGGATCATGACCTGAGCTGAAGGCAGACGCTTCACCGACTGAGCCACCCAGGCGCCCTGAAGTGTCTTTAAATGATTTGTTCTATCAGCCAAGGAAAAGGTATTCAGAATGTTGAACCTTTCCCAGGGGTGTCCTCATGTAAAGCCCTGGCCCTTGGAAAGGGGAAAATGACAACCAGAGACGGTAACGCCCGGCAGGGTATACACACACACACGAACACACACTCTTTTGCTCAGTGGGAAAGGAGTTTTCTCTCATGGCTTTTCTCCTTCATTGAGAATCACGTGATGATATCAGCACAGTTTTCCGGAAGAAAGAAAATCTATTTTATATCTAGAACCTCAAGAATGTTCCCTGCTCTCTCCATCAGCAAGGATTATAGAAGCTGGAGGGACTTTCCTTCCCATATGCCACATATCACCCTCTTGCCTGTTTTGCAGCCATGAATTTCTCTAAATCCCTAAGCCTCACTGGCAAACGCCACTGAGAGCCAAAGATACACGTGCCTTTGGCTTCCCCCCAGGAACACGCTCCTGAAAAGTTGCATGCAAATTACATTTCTGCAGCTCAGTAATCACTCCCCACTGACTTCTAATAAGATATGCGAGCCCCTCTCTCTTTTCGTTGAGATTGAGTTTCAATGTATGCCTGACACTTCGGCTTTAAGTTTCTCTGCTTCCTGCCACCCCTTCTGACGGTTAAACCACATCTGAAAAATGAAGAAACGACCAGCGAAACATGAAGTTCTAGTTCAAATAGTCTAGGATCTGTAAACAAACCCAACAAGTACATCAGAGAGGCTATTTGGAAGAGACACCAGGCATCGCCATTTGAAATGCAAATACCCACCCCATGTGCACCTTTGGGGGAGACTATTTCCAAGGGCTTGAGGGATTTCTGCCCCACTCCCTTGGGAGGGAGCAGCCACCTCAAGGCGATGGGCATCTTCATTCTGGGGGGGGGGGCGGTCCCGATTTGTCCCTTCTGCTTTCTGCATCCTCTACCCCACTCCCAGCTCTGAAATTCCAGAGACCCTCTCTACTGGAATAGAGACGGGGTGCTGTGGCTCTGGGGACCCGTGTATGCAGCTGGTGACCTCGGGTAGGAAGTACTTGCTAAGTAAAGAAGGAACGAGTCGTTAGGGAGGTGCCGTGGCTTCGGTCCCTGGCAACAGAGCTCAGCGAGGGCCCGTGCGGCATGGGTGTGCGCAGCTGGTCAGAAAATTGTCTTTGTGGTCTTTGGACTGGAACTGGAGATACTGTTAGTGCTGATAGGGAAGGGACTTGCTTGCTTAGTAGCGAGGAAAATTAACAGTCCAAGCATTCTTCCATCCTGCATTCTCCATGCTGGCATTTTGATTAAAAAAAAATATTGCTGCAGCTGTTTGCATATTCTGGAAGTGTATGTGCACGCGTGTGGTTTGGTGTTTACAGATTCGGGGTTGTGGAGGGGAGTTTCCAGAGCAGCGGAAGTAGCTGCTTGTCAGTCAGGGTTCATTTTGAAAACGAAAGCCTGAAAGCTTGGGGCCCACGCTGGGCCTGGGCCTGGTCCCTGAGGAGTCAGCAAAGGCCAAGAGGTGGCTTTGGCTAGTTGGCTCAGCGAAGCAACTACGCGATCGCTATCTTATTTTCTACGAACCGATGAAATCTGTGAGCTGTTTTTTGTGTCCCGAAGGTGCAGTGTGAGGCAGGGATGTGGGAGTGGGCACGGAGGCTCCGGCTGCAGACCACCCCCTAACACGCCCGCACACAATCACAGCTTCCCAGGCGGCCAAACCAGAACAAGGCAAGAACTGGTTCTCCCGCACCTACTACACAAGGATAGTATGACACCGTCGTCAAAGAGTCTCGAGTCTAGCTGGCGTGTCAGAGCAAGGGAAGAGAGACACAACACAGGGCCGTCTGGGCTGCGTACCAGAGGAGGAAGACAACCAGCCGGCTGGGGTGGGGGGAAGGGGCGGGGGGGCGGAGAGCGATCACCCCGGGCTGGGGTCATCAGAGGAGGCACGCTGGAGAAGGTGGAAGCTGAGGCCAACCTTGAAGGACAGGGAGAACGTCCCGGGACAGAAGCTCTGAGGGAGGACATTCTAGAAGAGGAGGGCGACTTCAAGATATGTTCAGGTCAAGGCAAGTCCCTCTGTTGGGCTGGAATTTGGGGCTTGTGTGAGTGATCTGCAGTTGATAAGCCTGGCTTGAATGCCAGTCCCTTGGTGCCAGGACAAAGGCTATGGTGTCACACAGACCTGCTCTGCCACTTCCTGCTGGGTGACCTTGAGCAAGTGACCTCAATCTCTGCAAACTGGGGACAGTAATAATACTTAGCTTTTGACGTGGCTGGGAGGATTAAAAGTGTTAACATATATATAAAGCATCTAGCACAGTGTCCGGCGCATAATAAATGTTCAAACATTGATGACAAATGCGTAGGCTGTCATGAAGGAAAGCTCAAGATATTTAGGGCAAAATATTTGAGGGCCAAGGAGGAAAGCCTCTGATACCTTCCATCACAGGTGGGCCCAGTGGAGTGGGCTGGCTTGGCTTGACCCCCCATCACCTTTGGCCTAGACCGTGGGAACAGTCTCCTGCCTTCTTGTCTGCCTCTCCCAGAATCGTCTTCCCAAACACCACCTTAATCACGGCTGTGTCCCTCTCTGACTCAAGAATCGTCTGAGGGTCCCTGTCGCCCACTAACTGAACTCCCTAACATGGTGGGGGGCAGGAGGCAAGAACTACCACTTATTGAGGGAAAGGAAGAGCAAAGAGAAGGCCACTCTTAGGATGAGGTAAAATATCCTCGAGGAGACAACAGGGACACATCCCTGAAAAAGGCAGGGCATTCCCGTGGCAGCTGACGGATTCACCTGCGCCTGCTTCTTCAAGCCAACTTGGGGAAGGTTAAAGAGAAGAGGGCGGAGGGCCGAGCGGGAACCCGCGGGGAAGAAGGGAACACCTTTATTATTATTATTATTATTTTTAAGATTTTATTTATTTATTTGACAGAGAGAGACACAGCGAGAGGGGGAACACAAGCAGGGGGAGTGGGAGAGGGAGAAGCAGGCTTCCCGCCGAGCAGGGAGCCCCATGCGGGGCTCGATCCCAGGACCCTGGGACCATGACCTGAGCCGAAGGCAGACGCTTAATGACTAAGCCACCCAGGCGCGAATATTTTCCCAGGTCCCCTGCAAGAGCTTCTGCCTGGATCCTTGTCTCGGGTTCCTCTGCAGGAATCGCGGGCAACTCCAGGATCTGCGGGGAGGGTCAAGGCCATACAAAGGGCAAGGCAGGGGAGCCCAGGTCCCAGGCCGCCTCGCCGAATGCTAGGGGCGGGACAAAGGCTGCTCGGGGACAAAGTGCAGGAGATAAGAGGGAAGGGCGAAGGAGGGGGGCGGGGAGCCAGCGCCCAGGAGCTCAAGGATCGCGCTCCCGGAGGCCTTGGCTGCCGGCCGAGCTCAGCCCGCCGGGGAGGGGGCGCCCTAGAGCCTCTTCATCCCGGCAGCTGCGGGGATGGCGAGAAGCCGGCGGCTGGGGCGCTCGGGGCCCGCTCGCCCCCACCCCGCGCCAGCCCCACCGTCGCGCGCGGTGCGGGAGGCGGGGCTGCCCCGGCTCACCTGGCCGCTTGGGGCGGGGCCGCCCGCCACCCGGGGACGCGGAGGTGGCGGCGGTCCCCGCGGGGCGCTGGAGGGCCTGGTCCCCGGGCCCCGGCCCGGAGCTCCCACCCCTCCACGCCCGCCACCTCCCGCGCGGGGGCCCTCCCTCGGCTCGCCGCTCTCTCCCTCCCTCTCCCCTCCTTTGCTCCCTCCCTCCCAGAGCCCAGTTGCTCAAGCCGCTTCCTTCCCCAACGCCAGCGCCAGTTCCTCTCCCGGAGGGGCCCGGGAAGGGCAGCGAACGCTCGACACGGGAAGCGCCGCGCCGGCGGCGGCGGCGGCGGCGGCGGCGGCGGCAAGACCATGGCCGAGCCCCGGGGGCCCGCGAGCCCGGGGCCCAAGGCCTCCCTCGCCGCCACCGCGCTGAGCCCGCGGAGCGCCCTGCAGCCCCGCCCCTGGGGAGCGGACGCCGGCACGCGGGGCAGGGACCGGGGCCACGCCGCCGCCTCCCGGGACCCCCTCCTGCACGGCTCGCCGATGCTCTCGGGAGCAGGCTCGGGCCGCCGGCGGGGAGCGCTGCGGGAGCTGCTGGGGCTGCGCGGGGCGGCCCCCGCCGGCTGGCTGTCGGAGGAGCGCGCCGAGGAGCAGTGCCCGGCCGGGCCGAACGGGCCGAACGGGCCGAACGGGCCGGGCGGCGGCGGGCTGTGCCTGGAGCCCCGCGAGCACGCGTGGATACTGGCGGCCGCCGAGGGCCGCCTGGAGGTGCTGTGGGAGCAGCTGGAAGCCGAGCCCGCCCTGTTGCTGCGCTGCGACCCGATCACGGGCTACACGGTGCTCCACTGGTTGGCCAAGCACGGGTGCCACGAGGAGCTCATCCTGGTGCACGACTTCGCCCAGCGCCGGGGGCTGCCGCTCGACGTGAGCGCCTCGGGCAGCGGCGGCCTCACGCCCCTCCACCTGGCCGCCCTGCAGGGCCACGACATGGTCATCAAGGTGCTGGTGGGCGCCCTGGGGGCTGACCCCTCGCGCCGCGACTACAGCGGCCACAGGGCCTGTCACTACCTGCGGCCCGACGCGCCCCAGAGCCTGCGGGAGCTGTCGGGGGCCGAGGACTGGGAGACGGCGGGCGGCGGCGAGCGGATCAACGCCAACAATAACAGCAGCAGCGCCGCCGCCCGGGCGCTGCGACGGACCCCGAGCTCGGCGGGCACGAGCTCCGTGGAGGCCCCGGCGAGGGCGGCGGCGTCGCCCGGCAAGGAGAAGAACTACGCGGGCAGCCGGGTGGCGCAAATTCAGGGCCTCCTCCGCCAGATGTTCCCCTTCTTCCAGGACCGTTGAGGGCGACAGGGACTGGAGAGCGCGGACGGAGCGCGACGCTGCGGTCGAGGCCTCGGTCTCGGGTGGGCTCGGGCCCCACCCGAAGGGGCGGCAGCTCCGGCCGCAGCCGAGTGCGCTGGGCCTGCAAGCGGCGGACCACCTCCAGGTTTGTCGCAGGTACCTGTCCCAGGTCACCTACGGCCACCGGCCAGGAGACCTGGGGACCGGGAAACCGTCACCGAGAGAGAGCGCAAAGACCAAAGCTGTCCTGGCGCAAAACTAGTCCCCAAAACTAGGGGACTAAGGAGTTAGGGGCAGGAGTGTGGTCCTGCTTGGGAGAGGGAAAGTAAGGCTTCCAGGAGCCATTTCTGGGCAGGCAGAAGCTCCGCGTGTATTGGGAAGCACTTGCTAGAAGAATGAGTTAAGACTGGAACCCACTGATACAGAGGAAGCGCCTAACTGAAGGCTAGACTCGGCTGTTCCTGCGGGCACTCACCCTCCCCCCGCCAACCTGCTCCTGAGACATCCAGGCTTTACCGGTACTTTTTCTAATGTATCACCGATGACTTCTTAAGCATATTAAAGCCGGGTATGTTTTCCTTTCACATGACAAAGCTGTCCTTTGAGTGACTTTTTTTTTTTTTCATTAACCACTGAGTGCGGGAAGCTTCCTACATTCGCGGGGAAGAGTTCACCAACCCCTGGCCATGAGCTAGTGATCCGGGAGGCTCTGGACCTTGTTCCCACAGCAAATGGCCAAGCGGGGCGCTGGAAGGAGCTACACTCACCTTGGCTCTGAGTGGAGACACACAGTTTGCCTGTCTCCCGGACTCTTTTGGCAGCTAGGTCCCACTTCTGGCACAAGTCTCATCCTAGAAGAGTTGTCTGTAGGGGGCAGAGGGGTGGTAAAAGGGGAAAATCTCCAAATGTACATTTCTGATGTTTTATGGTGAGTCATGTAATTTACCTTGACTTCTGCCCTCCTGGGGGACACACCCATCCACGCTTTTTCCAAGATAGGGCTTTAATCCTCGGCATTGCTTTTTAATTACATCTAATACATAAGTTGTAGTTTGGAAACTGGCTCCCATTCAGAAATCGTATGAAGCCAGTAGAATACAGGAGGGTTGACTTTGAGAGGAGGGAAAGCAGTTGGTGGCTAGGGATCCATGCTGCCTTAGAGAACAGTGCATTTTCTTTTTTCTTTTTTCTTTTTTAGATTTTATTTATTTACTTGAGAGAGAGAATGAGCGCACGCGCGCGCACGCGCGCGCAAGAGAGAGAGAGAGAGAGAGAGAGAGAGAGCATTGGCAGGGGGAGGAGGAGAGGGAGAAGCAGACTCCTGAGTAGGGAGCCTGAATCGGGGCTCGATCCCAGGACCCTGGGATCATGACCTGAGCCGAAGGCAGACGCTTAACCGACTGAGCCACCCAGGCGCCCCAGAGAAACAGTGCATTTTCAAAAATAGCACTGTATCCCTAGAAGCTTGGGCCGCCCTTGCAATGGACTGTTGCATCCCCAGCCCTCCCCTCCCTGCCCTTGAACACCAGGGAGAAACAGTCATCACCAAACATAGAAAGCCCAGAAACACTACCCTGAGCTCATCCATACAGGTTTCCATCTCCACCTGGTGGTCCCGTTTGCCCCCCCCATTACATCCTCTGTGCTAGAAATGTTCCGATCTTCCCTTAATAACCCATTAGATTCTTCTCATCCGTAAAATGATCCAAACCCTCCCTATCAATGTTTTCAGCCTGTCACATGTTTCTAGGAACTACACCTTAAAACAAATTTACACAGTGTGATGTAGCAATAACTTTTCGTTCTCAATGAACTTCTTCAATGTTTGAAAGGAGGAGTGCAAACGGTTCCTGGATCTTGGCAGTTGGCATCAGCATCTGGCATAACTCCCTCCATCCCTGTGCCCATTTTATAGTTTTTTTTTAAGAATTTATTTATTTGAGAGAGAGAGAGAGCACGAGCCAGGGGGGAGGGGCGGAGGGAGAGGGAAAAGCAGACTCCCCGCTGAGCAGGGCTCCCTCCCAGGACCCCAAGATCACGACCTGATTGGAAGTCAGATGCTTAAGCTTACCCAACTGAGCCACCCAGGCGCCCCCCCACACACACACACATGCCCATTTTATAGATGCAGGGCTGCAGGTTCTGCTCTACAGTCGCCCTTGACAGCTGCCAAGGCTGGTGGGGCTTGGTGAAGACTGCTGGGACAGGGCCTTCCTGCCCAATGGCTGGGTCTGCAGGCTCCTGGCTTGGAGGGAAGCGTGGCTTGTGCCTTTGCCCCACATTCAAAGGACACTTTGAGGTAGTCCCCTCTTCACGGGAAAAGTCTGAACCTAAGCATCTTAACTAGGAGCAGATCTGGGGACCGGAGACAAGCATCTGCCCTGCTTTTACCAACAAGAAAACCAAGTCAGCCAGAAGGTTCGAAAGCGCTTTCTGTCGTTTCTCCTGCAGTCAGCTATTCTTCCCCACAGATTTTTCTCATCATGTGATAGTCCCTGGCCTACCTCCTCCATGTAAAATTGAGGTTTGGCTGCAGGGGACAAACTCCCATGCTGAAAACTCTCCATGCCTAACATCAAGCCATTGGCATTTCTGGTATGCTTTTTGAGGCAAGACTGGTATGCTTACCCCAAGAGAAAGAACAAATTCCCTAAAAAACTGCTTTCCAGGGGAGCAAAACGGAGTTAGGCAGATGATGCAAATCTGCATTCTATTGGAGCAAGGGACAAGCAAAGGTGACAGAAGCAGGGCTGTGACAGGTGAGCATGGCAGTTGGGGGTGGGGGGTGCTGCACCAGGGCGGGGCCTGGCCCGGGGGTGAGATGCAGGGAAGGCTTTCCAGGAAGGAAGGTAAGGCCTGGTCTGAGGCTCCAGGCGTGAGTGGGAGTTGGTCGGTGGAGAAGGGGAGGGGCCTCCTGGCAGAGCCGCCGGGAGTACGGAGTAAGGTACGTCTGGTCTGGTCCGTCCAGGAGAAGAGAGCAAGTACCAGGAAATGTAAGTCAGCCGGTTTGGCAGGAAGGTGGGAGCTGGGGAGTGATTAAGGGCAAAGCTGGAGAAGTGGATGGGGGCTCAGATCACTAAGGGTCTCATAGAGGAGGCTAAAAGAGGAACGGAGATTTTAACCTAAAGGTAGCCGGGAGCCAGAGAAGGTTTCTAAGCAGAGGAGTAACCTGATGGGATTCTAGAGGAGTCCCTCTGGCAGTCACGTGGAGAATGGATGTGTCAGGGAGCAGGGCGACAACGGGGGGGGGGGGGTGCGTAGGGGGTAGGGGGTGAGGGGCACGGGGCGGGGGAGCATCACGCAAGCAGAGCCATTCTGGCGAAATGAAAGGTTTCAAGAAAAGTCGGGCTTCGGCTGAGAAGTTCAAAGAACCCTGTGGGGAGCACTGGCTTTCAAACTTTTTTTTTCCTCCATAGAATTTGCTGTCACGAAGCTGACCTCGAAGCCCCATGTGGGAAAGGCCCAGGCGAACAGAACCCCCCCTTCCCAGCCAGGTTCAAAACCACTGGTGGGCTCTGCGCTCGGCCTGACCCGGGTTCCGATGCGCACTGCCGGTCACTCACCCCTCGGAGTCATGCGTTCCTCATCGGTAAAAGGGGACCGATCCAATCCCCCTCGCGGGGTTCAGAGGGTTTGACATCATCACGGATCCGCATCCCCCCGCAGCGCGCTGCCGAGAAAATGGGCCGCCGGTTGGAAGAAGGGAGAGGTGTTCGGCGGGCTGTTGTGGTAAAGCTGGTTTCTCGGCCAGGGTGGTCCCGGAAGGTTCTTGTGGTTCCCTGTGTTAACCCCTCTCTAAAATGCGTGCGCACTGATTGCAGGTTCCTGTCTCTCTGCTGTTCCTCAAAGGAGATGGTGCCTCCCTCGCTAATGTTCTCCACCACCGACATACTTGGACCTCAGGCAGAATCGCAGCGAGCCCACAGCTTGTTCCATGGCCCACACAAGTCAAAGCCGCAAGTTAGGAAGGGCCCACCAAGTACTAAGTAGGTGAGATACGGTTTCCCGAGAAAGTCACAGACTAGAGTCAGGGCCAAACCCGAAGTCCTCTGAGGAGAATAAAAGCATGCAAGTCCTTCATCTCCTGACCCTATTATCTACACAAAAGCCCCCTTCCATCCCCTACCCACCATTCCACACCCCGCCTCCTAAGGGCTCTTCTTCCCCCTTGCCACTCATTTGAAGGAAGGAGATGCCAGTCTATCCTCTCAAGATGTGACTCCAGCTCTCCACACCGGCTCCTCCCAGGGCCTAATGCTGTCAATGGTCCCTCTCCGGTATCTCCAAGCTCCCCATCAGTGTGGCTCAGTGTAATAAACATTTATTAAGAAGCCAGGCTCTTGGGGGGACAAACAGGCTTGAGTCTCTCCCCTGCGCCCCACCTTCTGGCCCAGTCTCGTGACTCTCCCTCTCCTCTTCACCGCCAAACCTCTCCAAGGGGAGGTCTCCTCCCCTCAGTGTCTCTGTCTCCTCACCTCTTAATCTCTCCTCAGCCCTCTGCATTCTGCTCTCCACCTCCATCATCCCAACCCAACTGTTTCCACGAGGATCTCCAGTGATGACCCCCCCACACACGAGGGTCTCCAACGATGACCCCCCAGCTGCCAAATGCAAGTCCTTATCTTGATTCACTTCTTGGCCTCACCGGCCAGTGTTGGCTACTTCCTACTCCTTGAAACTCCCTTCTCGAGTCTTCCATGACCTCCTATAGCTTTAATTGTTGGCGTTTACCAACTTGAAGTCTCAGCAAACCTTTCTTTTCACTCTACATTCTCTCCCCAAGTCCTTTTCTCCCTTCTCCACTTCCCGCCCTTCTCCCTCCATCCCTCTGCTTCCGCCACACAGTCCTCCTTGCTGTTCCTTGAAAGAGCCATGTTCTTCTGACCTCTGGGATTCGTACGTGCTGTTCCCTCTCCAGAAACACTCTTCCCTCTATTCCTTGCCCTCTTCACCTGGCCCACTCCCACTCATCCTTCAGATGTTAGTCACCACCCTGGGGAGGACTTCCTTGCCCCCTCAGCCTAGGTTAGCACTTCACTCATTTTGCTCCTTTTCATAGTCCTTATTACACAGGAGGAAATTATCCCAGCAGTTAGTAAATTGCTCTCTCTGCCACCACTAGACTGACATTCCATGAGGACAGGGACCGAGTCTGTCTCATTTACCACAGTATCCCTAGCTCCTGGTAGACGGAAGGTGCTCAATAAATAGATATTGATTGACAATGGAATCATAGATTTGAACTCAAAAGCACAGGAAACAAAACAAGAAATAGATAAATGGGACTTCATCAAAATTAAAGACTTTTGGGCCTCCGAGGACAACTATCAGAAAAGTAAAAAGACAACCCACAGAATGGCAGAAAATATTTGCAAACGTATATCTCATAAGGGTCCAGTATCCAGGGCACCTGGGTGGCTCAGTTGTTAAGCGTCTGCCTTGGGCTCAGGTCATGGGAGCCCCGCGTCGGGCTCCGTGCTCAGCGGGAGGCCTGCTTCTCCCTCTCCCACTCCCCCTGCTTGTATTCCCTCTCTCGCTGTCTCTCTCTCTCTCTCTCTCTCTCTCTCTCTGTCAAATAAATAAATAAATAAAATCTTTAAAAAAAGGGTCCAGTATCCAGAATATATAAAGAATCCTAAACTCAACAACAAAATAATATAAACAACTTGCCTTACAAATGGGCAAAGGACTTGAACAGACATTTCTCGGAAGAAGATATATATGCAAATCTCCAACAAGCACATGAAAGGATGCTCAACTTCATTAGTCATTAGGACTTTGTTGTGTTTTGTTTTGGGGGGGAGGGGCAGAGAGAGAGAGAGAATCTTAGCAGGCACCATGCTCAGCGTGGAGCCCGACATGGGACTTCATCTCATGACCCTAAGATCATGACCTGAGCCAAAATCAAGAGTTGGACACTTAACTGACTGAGCCACCCAGGCGCCCCTGTTGTTTGTTTTTTTTAAGTAAGCTCTAGGCCCAAAGTGGGGCTTGAACTCACGAACCCAAGATCAAGAGTTGCGTGCTCTACCGACTGAGCCAGCCAGGTGCCCCAACATCATTAGTCGTTAGGGAAATGCAAGCAAAACCCAGGATGAGATACCACTTTATATCCACTAGGCTATAATGGCTATAATCAGAAAGTCAGATTATAACAAGCATTGGGCGAGGATGCGGAGAAATGAGAACCCTCATACTCTGCTGGTACGGATGTAAAATGGTGCAGCCACTTTGGAAAGTAGTTCTGAAAAGCCGGCAGCTCCTCAGAAAGTTAAACATAGAGCTAC